CCCTTTCCCCTTTCCCCTTTCTCCTTTCTCCTTTCTCCTTTCTCCTTTCTCCTTTCTCCTTTCTCCCTTCTCCTTTCCTTTTTTCTCACATCATGTTTTCTGGATATGTCACAGTCACATATATGATACCATGGGATTAAGCTTAGTTTAGTTAGCTACCAATAAGGCAGGCTAATACAAGTGGCAAACCTGCTTACTTACTCACCCAAAGCAACACTCTGATCCTCCACCAAGAAGAAATCAGTGATGACAGACAGTATTGGGATGCCAGTCCAAATTAGGTCTTCAGTGGCAAAGCTTGAGAAATGGAAGTCTGTCTAGACTAATGGAACAAGAAACATACAGGGGTCATAAATAACATCTCGTTTTTTATTTTTATTTTTTTCTTATTTTCCTAAAGTTTTTAATGTGCAAGATCATATAAACTGCTGGCACTACCCTAGCTTAACTGGTCTGAAACTAGTAGTTATCACTGTATGCTGAGCTTCTGGCATGACAGAGATTTTGTATCTCTGAAGCACTGAATCTGGTCTGCAATTTCTAATTCTAACCATCCCAAGGGACTCTATTTTCCAGAGGAAGTTTTTTTTCCCACCATCTCACTCATCAGTTCCTTCCCGTTCATTCTTTTCGCATAATTTGGAGCAAGTTCATATAACATTCTCCCTGTCCAGATAAAATGGAGTACAATGATATTATCTTTGCATCATTTGATCAGTATTTTGCTCACTTTTGACCTAAAATTTAAGATTTCACATTCAGGCAGAAAGGCCATGGATAGAAGATGGTAGTTCAATTGCTGGGATTAGAACACAATGACTTCTCACACATATTTTGAAATAAAGTGATTGCAGCCATGAATTTCAATGAGATTTATTCCTCCCAGAAAGAGAAGTTTGGCATTTAAGAGTGCACCCGTAAGAGGATTTTTGGTTTTATGTTTAAAACATAAACACTTATATTTTAAACTCATGCCCTATCTTTAACTGAATGAACTAAGTGCAAACCGTTAGTGGTAGTAGTGGTAGCTGTGCAGTAATTGTCTCAAAGCTGGAAGAGCTGCTAGGAAACAGCTTGTGGAAAACATTGCTTCTTTCTCTATTCCTTATGGAATTTTCTAGCATAGTCTGGCTCTTTTGCTATCTGCCAACAGATCTTTTAATGCATGACCTATACCAAAATCTACTTACAGGGTGAAAAACCCGCGTATCATTTGGCCTTAAGCTTGTTGAAAAAATAGTCTAGTGCTTAGGAGAGCAGAATGTTGGTTTGGAGGGTTTTTTGTTTGTTTGTTTAAAAGGCTCTAATTGTATTTCACTTCAGCCCCAGCATAAAATAAGAAGGTGTAAGCACAGGAATGACTATTTATAAATGAGATAATGGAAAGATTTCTAGAATAATTCAAACACATTAGTTGTCATAATTAACCATTAAAGAAAAATACTAGTAACATCTCAAATTAATAGCAATATAAATATTCATAGTTTAAAGCCTTTTAAAACAGTTTGTTGTGCAGAAGACTAATTTAAATAGGCATACTCAGGCTTAAAAATGAATATGTATAAACTATTTATTTGATTCTGGATGAGCAGAATCAACTGTCACATGTTCAGCCTCATGGAATGAGGTTTCCATAGCAGTCCAGGGGTTCTTACTGGGAGCAGACAGTTCACAAAAAGTTTGCAAAAACAGCTCTTAGCTCTTATCAGTCCTCATAAAAATGTGAGATGTGGTGGTCTAAGAAATTCATACAAACCAGGACTTGTCCAAGAAGCTGGCATGGATCTGAGGTATGTAAGGTTGCAAGCTGAGCTTAACTTTGTGTCCTCATCCTCAGGATGTTGCATCCCTCTTGTACCCTTAAGAGGAACCAGAAGAGATTCAGGTTGCTTATTAGGAAAAAATTTCTTCTCAGAAAGAGTTGTGAGGCATTGGAATAGGCTGCACAGGGAGGTGGTGCAGTCGCCATCCCTGGAAGTGTTCGAGAAGCATGCATATGTGGCACTGAAGAACATGGACTAGAGCGATCACAGGCATGAGCTGATTCTTGGACTAGATGATCTTATTGCTATTTCCAACCTTAATGATTCTATGATTCTGTTGTACCCTGTCTGAGATCTAGCACCCAAGCAGGAAGGAGTGAGGAAAGTCCAAGTGGTAAAACAAGCATCTGGGGAGGGAGATGCATGCCAGCATGTCCTGGCAGTTAAATCTGCCAGGTCAAAGCCTAAAACCCATATATCTGCCCAATGCAGACAAAAGATGTCTGCATGAGGATTGAATCCCATTGCATGAGGATTAAAATAGATCTTCCTGCTTGTAGTACCACCTGATAAGCAGTGTCAGGAGAGTGTCTCTGCTCTAGCTGCATGTTTTTTTATCCTTTGTACTTTGTAACTTGAAATCTGCTGAGAAACCCCTACACGCAGGTCATTTGGCCCTGTAGGTGAAGGAGCTTTGGCCAGGTTATTCATGTCTCTGCTTTGTGAAGCAGACCCAGAACAGTCATAACATGACCTTTAGCACTCCATTTATCTTCTTTATGTAATAGAAGTGATACTGTTCAGCAACTGATCACAAGGAAATATTGATTGTGTATGGCTAGGACATCAGGAGATCTTAATGGCTGTAATAAAATATATTCATTGTTAGCACACTGGTAGGTATTTAATTGTTTTAAATAAATCCAAGTAAACACATGTTAGAGATCCTGTACCTCAGATGTGCTTAGAATTGTGAAGCAATTTGGCCATTCACTTTCTGTTAAAGTTAAGTCTCACAAATCTATACAGCCAGTGCCTTGGACAGGTCTGGAGCAGGAGGTGTTAGATTAAAGCATTATGGAATCACTGATCCCCTCTTCCCCTCTGCAGCTTTTTTGCACATCAGACAAGGGTAAATTTGAAAGGAGAAATTTGGGCCTGGAGTGTCCTACACCATTGCCAGAATAACTTCCCTACGACCTCCCAGTTTTTACTGAAAAATTGTGCTGATCCCAAACTAGCATGATGAGGAGAAATCATTTTAGTTTAATATTTGCAGTACATCAAATGTCCTAACAATCTCATATCATAAGAATAAAGGATTAGTCTTTTAAAAAGCTACAAAAGGATTTCTTGGTTTCATCTTTTTATAACCAGAAAGGCATTAGCATCTACACTATTAATAACACTGATAAATTACCTTTTTTTTTTTTCACGTAGAATGACATGCTTTCATCCAATCCAAGTATTTGGAGGATTAGGGTGGAAGGTGGAATTGGGCTCTTTTTAATGATATTCAAAAATTTTTCTCTTTTTCAGAGCTACTATCTGTTTATAACTGCAAAATGAACACGGGTGCTTTCTAAAAAATACAGTACTAATAATGTTTCATTATTGTCTATGTACTTGATGCAAAGTTATTTTAAAGATGCTAAACAGAATACTTATAGGAATTCTATAAGTATTTTACTGAAATAAAAACAGGTTGTTCTACAATTTTTATTTTGAATAACAAGCAATAGATTTTTGCTATGTGCCATCAGCTCTGGGAGAAGAGATAGCAATTTAATTACCTTCTCGTGAAGAAGTTAGTGCATACATCTGTCTTATGCGTCTACAAATATTTATTGTAATATAGGCAGTGTCTCTGCACTACTATTTACACAGAGTAATAGAAATAACTCTTAGAAAGGACTGTGAGATATTGTATAAGAGAGGACTGTCTCAGGAGCAGCTTCCCATAAATCCTGCCTGATGCCAGTGTATGTCATCTGTTCCTCTGATTTCCAGTTATATATATGCAGTCTTCACATGGGATGTGGCAGAGAGCCATATTTCCCTGCATTTCCATAGAAGAAAATGAAGGTTATAGCAAATAGGAATTTGTTTTCTGAATTCATGAAGTCCATTTAAATCCATAAACCCAGCAAAAAGAGAACTTACAACCATATTACCATTTCAAGCACAGAGACTCTGGCTGTTCTAATGTGTGCTTTCAGCACTGACCTGAACAACTTTGCTCTGAGGGAAGCACGGGCTGCAGCTTTGGCCAGTTCGTTGTTTCGGCTCTAGCTCAGTCTGTGCTGTGCATCTCAAGGGAAACAGGAGAGCCAAAACTGGAAGAGTTAAGAACAAAATTCACCACAGATCAGGTCTAATCTTTCCTTCCTAGCAGCTGTCATATGCAAAGCTAGCAACAGTGGTGTCATATCACCCAGGACTAAAGGGAGTCTCCTAGTTCTGGCTCTGTGCCGTACCATGCAAAATAGGTCGATTATATTCCTGTCTTTGCTCTCAGAGATCCTTCCAGCTATCACTGGGGGTAGAACTGGTAGGCCTAGGAACTGCACTGCTAACAGCTCTAGTTACCCAAGGAAACAGTTAAATGACAGTCTGCTTAGTAAGGCAACACTGAACAGCTGCTAGATCATGAATGCCAGAGTCTGAGATATCAAAACCAACGTAATGCACTGCCTAGTGGAAATCACTGATATGAGAGGAAGGCACAGCAGGCAAAAGAAGTGGGGACATAGAGAAAATATACCAAACACAATCCCAAAATGCTGAGAGTGAAAATTTATGAACTAAATACTAGTTAGCAAGCTGAAAGCAAGCAGATTCAAGCCAGTAAACAGCAATTCCACAAGGATGCACCAACCAGCAGGTCACTGCCAGAAAGAAATTGAAGCCTTTGCTTTAGACTTACACAGCAAGGGTTTGGTAGTGGGATTCTGACCACAGCCGCATTCCCTTGTGCTGCTCTGTGGGAGGAGGTAGAAGAGGGTAAATTTCAAGATGTTTGTACTCTTCTCTTAGCTGTTACTGCTCCAGTCTATTAGTAGCTGGCAATAAATTGCATTAACCTCCCTCTACTGCATTTGTTTTGCAGTGACAGTAATTAGTTAGTGCTCTCCAAGACCTTTTCTCAACCCACAGGCTTTTTTTTTTTTTTTACTTTATGTTTTCTCCCTCTATGCTGTTGAGGAGGTGAGCAAGAGAGCAGCACAATGAAGCTGCTCCTCAATGTGAAACCGCTGCAGTACATGCACTGTAAATGCACTCTGAGAGAAGCAGAAACCAGTCTAAGGAGGATTTTACTAATATAGAGAACAGCCAGATATTTTCCTGTTCCAGAGAGCTGTCTAGTACAGCCTTTCCCACATCTTAACTACAAATGCACAGATAAAGCCTAATTTATGGTGCTGTCATAAGGAGCATTTTTCTGGCAAGTACTTAAAACATGTTCATTCATATGTATATCCACAGGACAAAGTGTTCATAAGGAATGCTCATCCACTTAGTACATGTTAAAGTACAATTGAATAAGTTGCAATGAAAGGGCTGAAGTTCTGTACAGAAGCAGGATGGTACACAAAATAGTGATATGTTATTCTTGGAAGATCCCCAAATTTGGACACAGCTTTAACTTTCCAATTCTACCATATGCTTTCTTTCTCATTGTTACTTTTTTTTCTGTGGCAATAAATTCCATAAAGAGCCAATCTTCTAAAGACTGAAGGGTATCCCAAAAGACCTATATAATATATATCCTGAATATAAAATGTATCCCAAATCCCTTTTGAAGTACTCCTTGGTGAGTCACTCAGGGCAGTATGCTGTAGGTACACAATTCTTTGCCAGCTTCCACTCCTCTCCTGTATGCTTCCTGTTGAGCAGAATTTCCAGTAACCCTAGAGACTTGTAAGATCACAGCAGCATGGCCTAGGTTGCCATTTAGTTACACTATATCCATCCCAGAATTTAGAGTATGGTCATGCCCTTAAACTCACATGTGGTTCACAACTAATGGCCATGTTTACTATGGCACGGTTCATTTAATTTGATTAACAATCTGGGATTTCATTAATTCTGTAAGCATTCCTTAGCAATATCTGTAGCAGAAAGAAAAAAGTAGGTCATCTTTTCATACTGATGGTGTTACCAAGAAAACTATTATAATTATCTAGATTCTAGTTTGCTGGTACTCTCTGCACAATAGTTTATGTCTTCTTCTAGTCCCTGCTGTGAAATATTTGTGTCCTTTTAACTGTCTTGGCAAGAGGATGACTCTTTGTTTTGTTTGTTTTGTGACAAAAGGGTATTCCCACAGGTGATCTAATCATGCAGCTCAGCTCTTACAACATTTCTAGCATTTGTCATTTGTCATGAGATACTTCTGAGAAGCATTAGCAGTCTAGTAACTCCAGTGAATTATTTTTCATCCTGTTTCCATGACCTCATTTCTATAGAGACCTCTATTTCTCATTATGAGGGTTCTCTCCCTTATTTTCATGCTGTTACATAAGCACTATAGAGTTCTTTCAGCTTATGCAGAATTTAATGAGGGAGTATTGTTTCTAAAATGACAAGTCAACAATGAAAGCTCTATCTTAAAAGCCAGCAAGTGTAAGGAGAAAGGGAGCAATTGCCAAAAAATCAATCTGAGTTTCTTCTTGCAAAGAAAATTAAGCAATCAGCATTTTAGACAGGCAATCAGAAATAGCAATAAGTTAGAAGAAAGTGGGAAGTTATTCAAAATGAGACACAGGTGGAAGGAAACTTTGGTATTAGAAGAAGATCACTTTGCTTTGTACATCACCTTGATGAGAGCTGATGCCCACCTCTGCATGCTGAGAGGTATACATAGTATCTGACTTACACACAACACATAAATAATGAATTGGGAAGAGTTTTATAAAGTTGCAGTGTTGCACATCCTCATACACTGGCTAAGACCAGCTTCAGTATCATTCAGGTGCAAGACACTGCACTTGTCCTTGTTGAACCTCATTAGGTTGCTCTCTGCCCAACTCTCCACCCTGTCCAGGTCTCCATGAATGGCAGCACAACTTCTGGCATGTCAGCCACCCCTCACAGCTTTGTATCATCAGCAAACATGCTGAGGGTTCACTCTATTCCTTCATCACTGGTCACTGATGAACATATTAAACAAGACCAGACCCAGCACCAACCTCTGGAGAACACCACTAGCTACAGGCCTCCAAACACACTCTGTGCTGCTGATCACAACACTCAGCCAGTCACTCTCAGTCCACCTCACTGTTTACTTATATATGCCGCACTTCCTAAGCTTACCTATGAGAATATAATGGGAGACAGTATGAAAAGTCTTGCTGAAATCAACATAGCACTTAAGTAGTCATGTGCATTTGTTTAGCTTAGCTAATCTCCCTACCAGAACTGTGAAATAATTTCCAGAATATGGAATCACATTTCATGAGCAAAATTTGCAAATAAAACCACAACAAGCAGAATCACATGAATGGAAAACTTACAATTCTGCAACAATAACATTATCAAAACTGCAGTCCATTACACTTATCTCAGCAATGAGTAAAGGTCTGGAGTAAATGCTGAATGTGTACTGTGAATGGAAAATAAAAAATAATGCATGATGAGTCTCAAAATGATCATTTCTGCCAGATAAACCTTGCATAAAATAAACTCTGTTATAGGCTATTCCACGTTTGGACTTATGTGAAATATTTGATGATAACAGAAGGGATATTTCCTGAAGTTTATTTCTGCAAGTCTGAAACAGCTGTGGAACTAACTAGAAGGCAAGAATATGTACACTAACAGAAAAACTGCTGAGCTGGAGCATGTTTATTAGTGGTGATCCCCAGGGATGTGCCTTAAAAAAGACTCAGCTACTTCCATAATTAGCAGAAAATGCTAGTGAAATGAGCGGACAACATAAACTTGGGAAATGTTTTGCTATTAATACAAAGGATGATTGGGATACCATTCAGAGAGAAATGGACTACTTAAAATGGCTCAGTAGTAAAATAATGAATCACATAAAGTATTTGAGAATTTGAATCTCAGGATTAATTATCATGAATAGAGAATTTTTCAGTTAAGAGCAACAATGAGTGAAAATGAACAGTGTATGTTTGTTGATCACAAAATGGATATGGCCATTAGTGAGGCACGGCAATGGCAAGCATAGATGGAGTCCCCAGGAACTGAAGGGAAACTGTTTCCCATGCAGACATGGAAAGACCAACAGCTCTGTACAGATCATAGTGAGATGTCATCTAGGAAATCATGTTAAATTTTGGTTACTATTGCTGAGGACAGGTTACCTAAGACAGAAAAATAAATAAATGAATAAATACATGTAGGGAGGAAATACTAGGCCGATCAGCAAAATGGAGGGTCTGCCTTACAAACAGAGACCTACTCTTTTGCAGGCTACTTCTGTTACTACAAATTAGATTTAAGTTAAAATGACTAGTTTATTTCTAATATTTCATTCAGCTTCAGTGGGAAATGGAAACACATGTTGAAATACCTGGTAGTACTTATACAAGAAATTCTATGTTCTGGTTTTGCTATAATAATAATACTTGGTATTTGCGCTGATGTAGGAGAAAGTAATGAAAACCGAGATGATATCTCACTGAAATTTTATTCTTTCATTAAATATCTGAATTTTTATAATTGCCCATTAATATCTTTTTTGTCTTCAATCTCAATTTTGCTCATTATTATTCTTTCAATACTGACATTTTCAACAATATCATTCAGAGAACATAATTTTATCTGTGACAAAAAAGAAAAAGATAATAGAAACCCATTCAATAGAGCTATTGCTGCTTTTTACTTCGGTTGTTGTGGTAGTTATGGATATCAAGTAGGGATCAGTACCCTTTTTATTGCACTAGACACTCTGCAAACAACAGCAGAAGAGTAGGTCTTTTCCTGCAAGATCACCATAAAAGATTTAGATGATGTGCAGGGTGAAATAAACAGGCCAATTAAAGAATGGAAAACAAGGTAACAAATGAGGCACTTGTTGATGTTATTATTCTAATAATTCACTGTAGCAAGTGATTTCAGCATGCTTCATCAAATCTGTTATCTTTTTCATACATTTTCAGTGTTATTAATTAAGTATCAACAGTTCACTTTGCCCCTGAAAAATATAAGGAAATAATGAGGGCCAGCATCTGCCTGCAATATTTTAGTCTTACCAAAGCACATTGTCACATCACATACTGCCTACTTTTTAGCTTTGTGTATTTTAGCTGAAAAAGGCACCAAAAGGGTTTGTCACTAGTGTT